TGCACTGTGAGCTGTAGGGTCTTATATAGACAGGTGTGTGGCTTTCCTAATCACGTCCAATCAGTATAATCAAACACAGTTGGACTCAAATGAAGGTGTAGAACCATCTCAGGGATGATCAGAAGAAATGGACAGCACCTAAGTTAAATATATGAGTGTCACAGCAAAGGGTCTGAATACTTATGACCATGTGATATTTCAGTTTTTCTTTTTTAATAAATCTGCAAAAATGTCAAAAATTCTGTGTTTTTCTGTCAATATGGGGTGCTGTGTGTACATTAATGAGGAAAAAAATGAACTTAAATGATTTTAGCATATGGCTGCAATATAACAAAGAGTGAAAAATTTAAGGGGGTCTGAATACTTTCCGTACCCACTGTATACTTTAAGTTTGTCAGGTCCGGGTCAGGTTTCGATGCCACACTCTCGGGCGCGGGTTGGGTTCAGACAGTAATAAGAAGCCTGATCCATGCTCTAATAGAAACTACATGCCACCCTATCTCCTCTGTATATATTTTTTCTCAATTTCATTCACTTTCCCCTCCTTTTTCCCCCTAATTCTATTCTCAAGCTCTCCAAGGGGCCCCATAACATTTGTCTAAACCCTGTAGAGCTGCCTTGACATCTCAGCAATTAGGCTTGATAATGCTGATAGAGGTGGAAACCTCATCTTGTCTGGCCTTGACACCGGTAGAGAAAACGTGATGACACTCTGTAACCTCTGTTCATCTCAACAGGACCACACCAAAGTGACACATACACTATGAGAGAAAGACATGTCGGAAACAGGAAGGTTGTTTACAAGTCACATCTGCAGTTTACCGAGGGTGTGATGTTAAAGATATTCACTGGATGCAGGATGCTTTCACAAAACTGGTTTTGATGGAATATGCCAAAGTTGGGGGAAAACTGTTTGTACTGCAAACAATAGTTTAGTTCATTGCCAGATTTTGTTCACGGAAAGCATTCCCTCAGGTATGACATGATACGAAACTACGCAATGAAAGCAGCGTGAAATAACAGCTAAATCTGATAAGCCAAGAGGGTTCTCGTTTTTTCACATGTATGTGCATGAAGCAACAAAATGTGCTTTAGTGTGACACTTACACCAGGAGGCTGGTCCTTGGCAAACATACCCCAGGTGTGATTGTTGAGGTCATGTTTATATGTGCGATGCTCTGTCTCTCCAAAGCCGTAGACAAACTCTGAAGGCAGACTAGTAGACACTTGGATGAACATGTCTGAGAAGATAAAACCTGGCATAGAGGAGTCCCAACTGAGAAAAGTGAAAGAAGATTAAATCAGAGAGAGAGGGGGATGAGGGAATTATTGTCACAGGGAGTTATTCACAATATGTTTGACACAAATAAGCATAATAACTCACAAGAACTGCAGACATCCCTTCAACATACTCCATACATTTTAATTAGTGAAATTTCAAATGACACTTCTAAAAAAACACAGAAGGCTCGACTACAGAATAGTGTCACCCTTGCTTAAAGATATGCTTTGAAACGATTCTCCGCACTTCTTCCAGATTCCTTGAATCTTTTAATTATGTTGTGCATCATTGAGGGTGACATATCCAAATCCCTTCCTATATTTCTTTGAGGAACATTGTTATTAAACATTTCAATAATTTCCTCATGTTAGCAAACTGGTGGTCCTCAGCCCACGTTTGCTCCTAAAGGGCTCGGCCTTTCCTTGATGCCACTTTTGTACCAAATCATGATGCAGTCACCTGTTTCACATCACCAATTTCAAATGGAATCATCATTTCATTGCTTTACTTCATTGCTATCCCTAAAATGCAACCATCCCAATTTTTTTTGGAATGTGTTGCTGGCATCAGAATTGAAATTTGTGTTTATTTTGAAAAATAAAATAAAATTGATGAGGTATCACATCAAATAATATGCTGCTGTATTGTTTTCAGTATGACACAAAGGATTTACACATCACTATTTTCAGTTTTTTTTTTATGTTACATACCGTAACAACTTCTTCTGATTTGAGGTTGTAAAATATCACAGAAACAACAGAACAAATATAAAGCAGCACATTTAAGACATTTAATTCTAGCCCTAAACTATCCTTACTAACTAACTTACAACTTGTAAATCTATCAAACAAATGTATCTCAATTCCAAAAACAACAAACAAACAATCCAAACCTCATGAAACAGGCTGAAACATCAACAATACAATAACAAAACAATACCCTCAGCCCACCTGAACCACTTGTACAGCTAAAATACTCACATCTTAGTCCCTGTGGTTTTCCTTATGACCTGGATGCCGAATGGGTTCTTGGTAATATTAACCTTGTAAAGCCTCTTGTTCTCATCAGTCTCAGGAACAGAGGGAACCGTGAGCTGCACGGGAACCTCATAACGATCTGTGGCTGGGTCCCAGATCTGGGCAGGGAGAAGATGCTGGTCTGTTTGTGTGTGTGTGTTTATGCGGAGCTGGCTTTCAAGTGATGCACATGAATAAAAACTATACTTAACCAAAGAAGGGGCACAAGGAAAAACAGAGAAATGCAATTGCTACACAAGAGAATGCACCACTACAAGGACAAACAAATAATTACACACCTTGAACTGCAGCATGTAACTGCGATGGTAACGGATATCAACACGGAGTGTGTCAATGTCCGGAGAGTCGGGGCGACCACTGCTCCCGTACTTCTTGTTCCGAGTGATATCAAATGTCATGCCTGAGTTGGTTTCTGTGACTTCAGTAACATTGTATCCATAGTCTCTTGGATAGAAACAGTGTGGAACACGATCTATGGTGCTTGACTGAGTAGGGAAATAAGGAAAGGGTTAGCAGTTTTCAGGAATATAGAAATAATGTGTGCAAGTACATTCTGATCATTACATTCTGACCTTACCTCCCAGATGCAGCCTCTGGCCTCGCACTTAGCTACAGTTGGATTCTCCTCTGGATGGCAGTCAAAGCGCTGGTATGCCTCCCATTCCACCTGGTAGGTCTCCCCTAAGGTCAGGGATAGGCCATGCAAGGAGAGAACCTGCGCATGTGATGAAAGGATGAGAGGATGCATTAATTATTCATTCAAGGATGCCAATGTGAGAGCATTCTTCCCAGGTTGTCCTAAAGTGAACAATCTCCTTATCTAAGCTCAGATGTGCTTGTGTGAGAAAAGATGCGTGCTTGATGTTTCGTGCACTATTAGTTGAGACACAGCTGTTAATTTCCCTCACAGTTTCATCAGCTTCTGTTTGGAGTTATGAGTCACTCTCACAGTAAATCTTTGGGAGTCCCTTTCATTCTACTCTCTACAGTCACCATCTGATGCAGCCTCAGCTGGTGAGTAGACTTCTGGAATTTCCATCATTTCTGTGGGGTCTTTTTATTTTAGAATCATGCTTCAGCAGTTCTGTTGTGTAAATGACACAAGTACTTAAGCAGTTAGAAGAAAAGTGCAAATAGACTGCAATTGCATGAATGGGCAGAAGGATAAATAGAGTAATTGAGGAGACATGGAAGGAAGGGAGGAAAAAGAGGAAGGAAAGAAAGAAAGGAAGGAATAGAAAAGTGCACAGGGACAGTAATGGAGGCACTTCACACATGCACTATGAGCAGTATCCGCTTGTTAAGTAGTGACGTAATATTCCGTTCCCAGGTCCAAACTTCGGTTCATTCTCCTCAATTCAATATGCAGCAATGTTGGGTTCCTCATTGTTTTAGTGAATCAAAACTCACAGGTCAGCTGCCATATTACCACTTGGTAAAATGACATGGCTGCAGCTGATTTGACAAGTCATGGTATTCTTAAATTAATACTTCTCAAGGTGCTTTGTTTTGCTGCCTTGCAATATAGCTAGCCAGCTAGCACGAAGTTAACATAAGCACTACACACTGACGCTGATGAGTTTATTTATTATGCTAGCACGTAGAACTGTGATACTGACTACTATATGTGAGTAGAAAAAAATTTAGTCTTTTTTTTTTTTAACTCTCAGTGATACCTCACTAAAAAAAGATGTTATTGGTGACAGGCTCCACCATTTGGGTCTGGAGGAGTTAGGAATGTTAGTTCAGACACTGCATGCGGATCAAAGGCAGCCAGGAGATTTAGTGCGCAGTAAATTATTAAAAAAAGCAATCAAGTAAAAGAGATTAAATAAACTACAAAGAGTTAGTGTGACTCATATACTGTAAAGCACTGTGCTATTTGAGTGTATATGGAACTAATGATGTATGGTTGCTGTGAGCTATATTCAAGGCCCAGTCTAACTGCGCATACAAAGACCGATGGACATGACAAGCTAGAGTCTGGGTTTAACAGCACATTTACCCTTCACCCCCAGGAAATGATTACAGCAGAGAGTCATTTGACAAATGCATGTGTGTGTGTGTGTGTGTGTGTGTGTGTGTGTGTGTGTGTGTGTGACCAGAGAGACCTTGAGGATCTACACAGTCACCATCACACACACATAAACACATGTGCACACAAATATACACAAGTACGCAAAGCAAATCTGTATAGTATTACTTCACTGAACCTCTTGACACTTTATAGACTCTAGCCTTTTGCTCATAACCCTGGGCACTAACTGTGGGATCATCCTTCTTCTTCATCCATTCTCTCTCTTTCTCGCACACTCACAAAAAGCTTTTACAATCCTCAGTGAATGTAAATTGTTATTATTCCTTACACTTACAGGCTAACCTTGATATGTACAGTAATGGTTTCTTTCCTGGTCTTATTGAAATAGATGGCAGATGCCCACAAAGGTAGCCACTGTAGAACTCAGCCAGACTGAATCTGTGCTGCATCAGGGTTGTCCTGACAAATGGAAATAACTGAAAAAAATGTACTGAATGGAAGCTTTTCATATGTTATGACTATGTAGTTCTTGTTATTCGATTTTTAATTCATTTTAAACTACTATTTTAAATCACAAACAGAAATGTAACATTACTGTACAATAATAATAACATACATTAAAAATTAAAATGATTGTAATTTACTAGTTAATATGTTCACTGTGTGCTGGTTGGTGTTGGGCAAGTAGGGTCTGTTTGTTCTATCTTCAGTACATGTCTATCATGGCAGGCAGTTAAACAACTTTCCCTCATCAGGACTCTGAAGACAGTTATGCCATTGTCAGCAGGTTTATTGACAAGAGGAAAGGGTGAAACTAAAAGAAAAAATAAAACATCAAAATGTGCAGACACAATATGTCCAAAAGCACAGCTGCAGGCATTACACTGATTTGCCTTTCGCACTGAAACTGATATAGGCCTGCATACATTTTATATACTGTATATGCTTTAAAATATGAATACTTTAGCCAAACTTTCCTAACAGATTAGCCTGAAGCTAATGTAAACATATCAATGAGAACAGCCTTTCCAAGTACATTTTTTCTGCTAAAGCTTACAAACGCTGTACATCCTCAAACCATAAGCAGTAGTGTAAAAGAACTTATTACATACCGACAATGCAACCAAAGGCATAAGATGTATGCAGAATGTTGCTGACCTACACAGCTGAACTGCCATGCTGAAAGAAACTACTCTCCGTGACAAGCGCTTCACTTTCTGGCTAAAGTTTTAGTCAAAGTCCACAAAGTTGCCTCATGCTATACTTGGAGGAGCCAGTAGCTGCCACTGTTGCTCCCATAATAAATCATTTTATCAAAAAACAGCCCTAGGAAAAATGCAAGATGCCCTTAGCTGAAATAAACCTATTTACAAAACTTAAACAACTATAGGGAACACAGCTCATCAGGGGTTTTTCATTGAAAGCAGCTGCATGCTGCTGGAAATGAAGTTGTAAGAGAGGTGACAGTGAAACAACAGCAAAGTTACAGTAAGTAAAACCAAAACATGAGCTGGTACATGCTAAAATGCTTTGTATAGCTGAGGATATCAGAATCAAGCTTCACTGGGTTCGTCACGACAAGCGAACACCTTCTGATTAGTAATTGTTAATATAAAAATTGTGATTGGTGCAGCTTTAAAGAAATGTGACCTATCAGATGTCCGCATGCATGCTAGAACATGTTATTTAATAAATATTATTTAAAACTAATTTCCCTTGGTGTGAAAACAATTAAACAATGGCTGCTGTTCATATTTAGCATTTGAGCATTTGTGTGTTTACCTTCTTGGCTCCATCATACTCTATGTTGGTGTTTGGCATCGTTGTGGTAGAATTTCCAGTTGTTCCAGTGCCAATATGAGTCACAATGACGAATCTGGGAGCAAAAGGCACGCCGAGGACAACAATTTTGTCAAACTTAAGGTTGTTTGGGTCTTTGTAGCCAGCATGGGTCACCTGCATTGTCAGTATTCCCTGTAAGATAGAGAACAAACAATTAGATGTCTGATTTGAATCCATTTATTGCATGCTTTCAAAATTAAAAACCCCACTGTTATTACAAAATTTACATTTTGTAACATAATACTTTTGTTGTTGTTTTGTAGATTGATTAAACTGACAGATTCCAATGCTTAACAGTCAAGTTACACTACGCCACCTCTTGTTATCATGTATACTGGTAAAGCAAACAGCTTGTAAACTCCCTAAACTCATGCCCATCAAACTGCTGTTCTGATAGATTTTGTGTCTGTAAACCCCTATACCCCCCCCCCCCCCACCTCACCCTACTTCACCCCAGTGTAATTCTAAGGTACAAGAAGAACATCTATGGCATACATAAAACATGCGAGGCAATTCTCAGCGCTGTGTAATGCAGAAACAGGGGAGACTTGATCCAGCAAAGCTTCAGCAGTCTAGAGTGGATCAACCATGCTTGGTGTTCTGGACTGGGAAAGCTGATGTGGTTGTGAACTTTGAACCTGAGTTCAGATCAGAACGAGTATGTGTGAAAGATGGTGTACATGTACACTAGATGCATGCAAGAGAAACTTACAGAGACGACAGAGAATGTGTAGTGGATGTAGTTGCCCTTTTCAACAGTTTCTGTAAAAAAATAAAAATAAAAAAATAAGAGCAGATGTTAATTTTTGTCACATCAGTTTGACACAACGGTATACTACCTGAAATTCACTTGTGAAAGTGTGTGACTGACAGCATTTGAACAGCCACACCGACTCATGTGATTCTTGCTTAACAAGATACAGGTTTCCAGTTGATTCTCATAAAAGAATGCCTGCAAATGCAATTGATCCTGTCTCATGCTCACTGACACGTTTGCACAAACAGAAACAGGAAAGAAAAAATGAGAAAAGCAATAATACCTCGCGAGTCTCCATCATCCCAGAATAGCTCTCCAGCTGCCTGGTTGTTGTCATCAAGAGCAATAATCAAACCCATGGGGTTACGGCGACTAGAGACATGTGCATACAACACACACACACACACACACAAACACAAACACAAACACAAACACCATATGCATATGCAATTAAAATGTAATTAATCAAACAAATACTGAGCACATTATGCAAGCACATGAGTTGCAGTAAATATAACGGGGATACTTTGATGTTTTTGGGATTCTGTGCATAAGTTGGAAATACAGCACATGTACTGTACAACACATGTAAATGTTGTGTGTGAGAGCTTGCTTAAATCTTTCAACATTAATTGAGGTGTCCTAGCTTTGTGTGTGTGTGTATACCTGTATGTGGTGGTGACATTCGGTTCCTGAGTGGGGAGGATCGCACCACCTCTGATGTGTAAACCAAGCTTCTCAGCTGGTAGGTGCATATCAACATGGTTTCTGCGCTCTGACAGTTGTTCCATCTGATTGGTTGAACAACAGAATCTATTCAGTTGTGATGCTGTGTGAGCAAGACAATCTCTGTGATGCCCCATTCAAGGTTAGGACAATGGTCATAAATTTGCACAAGCCTGGTCTGTAAAATGTTGGTTGTGAGCAGCATTAAACTGCCTTCTCTACAACAGAGCCTGACTTTAGACCCCTTTAACACTGAAGCAGAAATGCATTTGTTGTAAATTAACCAGTTATTAGTCTGGGTCTAAGTTGACACAGCGGGACAGTGGTTTGCGCTGTCACCTCACAGCAATAAGGTTCCGGGTTTGTAGTTAGTAAACCTACAGATATTGATAATGAATTTGGCTCTCTCAGCAATAAATAGTAGGCCTACTTGAAGGTTGAAGGTACAGTACTATGTAACTTAAGGTAGTGCTAGCATGATACTCCAAATCAACCCACTGTGCTCCACCCAGCACTCAGTAAAACAGTAGCAATTCTAAAGTAAAATAAAACAAAAACCTTAAGGAATAAAATGCAGTAACTGATTCGCTTGAGGAGGATATACCATAGCTAATGTACGTCTGTGCAATTGTGCTCCCATTTGTTTAAGACGAACAGACACATTTCTCCAGATCTTACTCTCTCCCTCTCTTTGCCCTCCATCCATTTCTCTGAGGGCCCAGATAGAGCACAGTTAATTTCTGATCCCTTGAGGTCTGAATTCTCAGACCAGCCTAAAACAATTTAAAACTCCCTTTTCTCTATCTCCTCTCATTCTCCTTCTTCATATTTCCTTCCCCACATCCTGCTATTCTCTCCTGTGGTGCACTAATTCTTTTTTTCTGTCCCATTTTCCTCCATTCCCACGGAAGGTGTGTGTGTGTGTGTGTTTGGGGAGGAGCACAATTTTATGCAGTACAGTAGAGTATGAGTGTGCATGTGGGCTGGAGTTAGTGGAGCGTCAATAAGCAATTTCAGATCTTATCACCCCCTCATTGTCTGCCTTAAGGAGGTCTTCTCTAGCCTTGTCATCTCTTCTTTTCTTTATCCCTGCTGGCCACCCTACCTTCCCACTCTTCTATATAATTGTCACCCCCCATTTCTTCTTCTTATCTTCTCCCTTATCCCTGATTTCTCATTTTTCTCTATCCTTCCTTCCCCTACTTTGTCTTTGTTCAATTTCCTTCCTATTGGTTTTCACTTCTTCATTCCTCTGTTTTTTTTTTTTCCTGTTTTTCATGGTTCCTTCACAACTTCAGTACCATCCATGCTCCTACCCAGATAATCACAAAGGACCAACTGGAACAAGGGGCCAGCGGCAAAACAGCCAATCTAATCGTTCATCTGATCAGTGGGCACTTTACATCGCCACTGTGATGCCCAAATAATGTCCCAAAGGAACTGAACACTTCTTTTATCTCTGTCAGGAAGATAGTCACTGGCCCCTCTTTCACTGTATCATTGTCCTCCCTCTCACTCTGTCTTATCACTTGTCTCTGTCTCAATGAACTTGAGACAAAGACTTTCATGACACGTGTTTCTGTGCATGTTAATCTCACTAATGTAACATAATGCTGACAAGCCCCTTTGCTGCCATTTTTTTAACACTATACATTAGTGTTACCAGTTCACTGGGTTCATGTGTAAATCCAATGCATTCTAATACAATAATCCTCCATTTAATCATGTTTAACCAAATTTATGGATCTCACTTTTTATATAATTATAAAATCGACTTTGTATTGCATGAAAGTGCCCCTCTGACAATTCGGTCTTTTTACCAAAAACGGAAAAATGCCTAAAAGCAGCTGTGTGGTAGGATACACTACCAAGAAGGCAAAGAACTCAAAGTTAATGTTTTAAAAACAGATGAACAAAAAAACCAAATCTTTAACAGGACAAAACTGGATAAGATGTGAACAGGAACAATGGGGAAACAAGGTTCCTAATACTTATTATGTCTTTGTGCAGCAAGCAACAGGTGCCTTAACTAAAATACCTTGCTAACACATAGCAGGAGGGAGGAATTACAGTGTATTTATTTCCAAAACAGAATGAGGTCTAGAGGGAAGCTGGGGCGCTGTTGATGACTAAAATGATGATGGGTCAAGCTAGCCATTAGATTGCTGTGTGTTAGCAAGCTAAGGCAGTTCCAAGCATGTTACGGCATGGCTTTATAATTTATAACACAAATTTTGACCTACTGCCAAAAAGCTTTAACTTAATTTGCAGAAATACAGTAACCTAAACTGACATTTGGATACTTGACTTAAGACAAATGTTTGCTGCACATGAAAACATAGAGTGTCAGGATCTCAGATTTTGACTGTTCTTCGTGTTAATGCCTCATCTTTTGTCTTCTTAAAGCTTTGTTTTGTTTTGTTTTGTTTAGTTTGTTTGTTTTTGGCAACTTTTAAAACTATGACTGGGTTTTTGCCTTGTTGGCAGTGCATCCTATTACACAGCAAGCAAGTTTTAGGCATTTTTCATTTTTTTGTAAAAAGATTGAGTTGTCAAAGACCCGCCTTCACTCAATATAAAGTCAGTGGAGTGAGATGAATTGCCCCCAACCTCATGTGTGACAATGGCCTAAATGCATTCACTCTCCATGCAATTAACATAATTACAGTACAATAATCAGACTACTGATAATTTATCTTCTGAATGGGGACTGGATCTGCTTTAGAGGAAACTATCTAAAAATAAGCAGGGACTGTTCTTACCGTCTCGTAGTCATACCACACAGCGTCTGGTATATATGCCCGTACATTATCCATACCCTGCAGAAAACAAGAGTAAAAGATTTTTTTTTCACATGTTTTGTTTGACTTAAGATTTGTGGACATTTGTGGGGGAGGCATCAAAAGGTTCCAGCTGTGTGTTTTGTATGAAACCATGCTTACATTTGATTTGTGTGTGTAGTCATTAACATCCATTTTGGTTCACTGTAACAATCCTGACACTTTCATCTTATAATGCTAAACATGAAGAAGAAGCTTCAATACACCACAAAGGAAGAATAGATATGTTCTGCTGCTACACATCACTGCAACTTAATCATATATGAAAAGATCAAATGTTCCCATCAAGGAAAGTTTTGTAAAACTGCCTATCAGCTGTTATAGTTTCCACAAAGCCCTTATGATATTTCAGTCTACAGTGCTATGATTCAACAGATGATGGAGAAGACAGCATCAAGTGACAACTGATAGATGACAGCCTTTTGATGGCTTAAGGTGGTGGACAGGCAGGAACAATCAATAGAAGAGCTCCAAGCCTTTGATAGCATTGTCACTTCCCTGCTCTTTCTGACAGGGCAGAACATAGGGAGAGGGAGAGATAAACACAGAGAGCACAGCGAGAGAAAAAGGAGCAAACTACATGTCCTTCTCAGAAAAGGCTAAATCCTGAAATACACTGTGTCAGCTGTGTAGGCAAGTCTGTCTCTCACTGATGGCACCAATGTCTTGCTCGCTATCACTCTCTCTCTTCAGCAGCATGTCCTATTTTGTGCCCTTCTGAGGCTTGTCATTAGGGACAAGAAAGGTGAGAGGAAGACAAAAAATAAACAGGTAAGAGCACTGAGGATAATTCAACAGAGGCAAATAAGGACAAATTTCAAAAGCAAAACACCAAAAAGTATACATGAAACACTAGAAAGAGTAACATATGATAAAGACATATTGCTATAATGGCCTGCTACGCAAATAAAATGATTTAATGCAAATCACAGTTTGAAGTAGATCACCTGTCACAACCGCTACACAGCCCATGAGATGACAGCCTGGGGAAATGGATGCCCCCTCTATACCTTGTTTTCTGGTGTCTGACTTGCTCTGGGTGCCTATCACTCACCCTGCTAACTAATGGGAAGGGACTGTAGGACTTAACATGGCTGCTAACTGTGATTGAGAAGGACAAGGCATGGGGCCTGTATCCTCATTGAGAGTATTAAAGCTAAGTTAGCCATAAAGTAAGATTTGATCAGGTAGACCAAAGATTCATACTGACAGAATGATCAGATGGTAGGTGAGGTAGATAAGAGGGGTGTAAGGGGATGCACAGAGAGAGAAAGAAGAGGTGTTAGAGAGACTGGATGAAATGGGATCACAAGGGTGAGTTGACAGCAACTGATTACGAGAATGTAGATGAGATAAGGGAGTTAATGTCTGGTTGAAGGATAAGCTAAAAAGAAAATGGGCAAGAGGAGGAAAAATGGAAGGATAGATGAAGACCAGAGGGGATGACAGACAGAGTGCAGGAGATATCCCCAGTTTATCACAGAGATCAAGGTTAAAGCATCGACTGATCTCGACGATAGAGCAAAAGCATCATTATAAAAAATGGAGAGGCAGAGCGATAAACAAAGGGAGACAGAGAGAGATGAGAATAATGAAAAAGGAAAGTAACAGCAGAGGTTGTGAAGGGTTGTTAAAGATCAACCTGTGACCTTACCCAAGTAGATGGCACCATCTCCTCTTGTGGCCCTGCATTTGTAACAGACTCTAGGCACTTGTTCTCATTGCCTGCCCACACCACAGCACTGCATCTCATCAGCACCCGCCACCACAAAAGATGAATATTCAGCCATCAGATCTGCCTTTCAAAAACAGTCCTTTTCAACTGGTGTAGCAGAGGTGTAAACTGCCTCTAAAGCTTATGTCAGCGTGCTACGCTGCACTGCTATGTTACTTTTCTACAGCAGATTAAGGTTTTCATGTCAAAACACAAAAAGCCATGTTTACAGAAAAAAGCTCTATCATAATATGGGAGAGAAGATAAAAATCATGATTTGCTTTTAGACACAGCAACACAGCTTTGAAAGATTCTCTATGTTTCCTTTTATAAATCCTTACAGAGGTAGATTTTAATGGGTAACAGTGTACCAGTTGGGGCTGTATTGGTTATACAGTACTATGACATTTATGCAGTATTTATTATTAGGTAGAGACTGTTTTTCTCACTAACTTTAACCTATTTGGTATTTTTCTGTCTGCCGTGAAGTGGGAGGGGAGGTTCAGTATGTGGTCATGTCAATATTGACCAAGCAGCATGGGGCATCTTTGGTGTTTCGCTTGGGTTTAGTTATCACAAAGTGTGGCAATATGAACAAATGTTACTCAAACACTTACACACTTTTGTGTGTGGATGATATGTTGGAAACTCCATCAAGCAGAGAGATAAACAACTTGTACTTTTCATTCCAACTGAATACATGTGATTGTGGTGTGAGCGACTGCTTTCAAGCGTACAACTGTCAGAATGTGCCACGATGCATTAAGTGAGAACTGTAGGGCTGAAGGCATGTCACCCACAGAGTTTCCAGACCAGCACAACATAATAAGAAAACATCTGATCTAATTCTTGAATACGTTTGTCTAATGCACTATAAATTCACTGATGACATTTCTGCACAATTTTAAGCAAGGTCATATATTTCCTCCTTTGAGATTCATCTTCATTGAAGACATTTTGCACTATTATATTATCTGAGCACTGTGATGCAATGCACATTGCTTTTAATGAGAAAGAAAATGAGTGGTTGGTCAGAATTGATGCCAACCCCTAACACACCCACTGGTAACACATTTATTTTTATCCTATCCCGTTTCCAGTTGAGCTCAGTTTCTGGCCTTGACAGGACCACAGGTGGGTGACCTTTGACTGCTATTTGCATTTGGCTTTTTAATTCTGCAGCATCAACCTATGGCCCTTCTCCTTCCCTACCCCCAGGATACCTCAAACCCTGAGGCAGAGCAAGCATAAACCCTTTACTTCTTGTATAAGAAACTTTTCCACAGTCACACTGATTGAGGTTATTTTATCCCCAGCTCCACTATGAATCCCATTTGCTTTCCACTGTTCTGTAATTCACAAGAGGCCATGCTAAATTGCTTATTAATCAGGCCACTTTGACATGACCGCAATCACTGTATATGCACACATACACAGGCACGTACATTTCTCACATACACACAGGCATGCATATATACACACAAACAAGCACAAACACATGCATACACACTTCTATCTACACTTCTAATCTGTTAGTAATGAGGTCAGTGCTCTCATTAGAGCTGAGAGAAAAGAAGGAGGATATGAAAGAGAGGAGAAAGAGGGATGGGGAGGGGAGGGCAACGCTAAAATTCCATGTCATGTTTTCCAAGTGGAGGTCATGATGTGTGTGTGAGTAACTGATTATCTCATCTGTATCATCTGCAAGACACATTGTTGTACTACACACTTTCTGTGTACTACATGTATAGTACATTTCTCTGAGTACATCTTAGTTCCCTTAACTGATCACTCATTGTTCCTTGATCCTCGCTTGACCCGGAAGTCGTTTTACATCTTAAAGGATGTCCCAAAACTCTTTTTTCTAGTCTGAAGAGCAAGGATTAAGGAAACTGCCTGGAGGATTCATGAATGAGAGCTATACAAGAGACCATCGGTGAATCCCGATTCACCTAACTGCATCTACGTTTTCGTCACTTGTGCCTTTTCTTTGCTTCTTAGTCGCAAACCCATGTAAGATGCAAGAAAAACATGCAAGGAGAGACTATGAAGAGAGAGGAACCAAGGAAATATGTTTTAACTGACATGAGATGGCCATCTGTCAAGCCTTAATGTGAAGCATCCAATCAAAAAGTTATTTCTGTCAGTGGATACAGTTGTGTATGCTTGGTTATCGCTCCTCCATGTAGCCTCCTCACTCCTCTGTCCTTGCTCCTCAGAGCAGAATTAAGAGCTCTGGGACATCCTTCATCATGTCAGATCAGAACGACTTCCAGGTCAAGCGAGGATCGAGGACCAAGGAATGATAAAATAAGGGAACTGCGATTCACCTCGCATTTGTTTTGTGGTTCAGTGCAAAAAATCTGTTGGTGACTGGATGCTTCATATGCCAGATTGGAGGAAAGGAAGTCTCACGTCTCTAAAACACATTTTCTTGATTCCTGTCTCCTTACACTTTTTCCCATGCATCTTATGACAGCAGGAA